TACAATGAATCATCAATTTAATCTATTCAATAAATCATTTCTATCTGTTTACTGCTTCAGTAAGCAACTATTAAATCATTTATAATATTCACGAAACCCCTTTTCTGATTACATTTATTCATCCATGATCCCACACTTCAGACTCAAACCGAGGAACTTTAATTTCTGCACACGAATACCTAAGCTCGAAGTCATCAATTCAACTATTAAATTATAATATTCACCGAAACTTACTTACTTACGCCTGTAACCCCTCGTCGAGAAGCATAGGCCGCTCACCAGCATTCTCCATCCAACCCTGTCCTGAGCCTTCCTTCCAAGTTCTCTCCAGTTGCTATTCATCCTTTTCATATCGGTTTCTATTTCCCGGCGTAGTGTGTTCTTTGGCCTTCCACTTTTCCGCTTCCCTTCCGGATTCCAAGTTAGGGATTAAGTCGTGATGCACATTGGTGATTTCCTTAATGTATGTCCGATTCACTTCCAATGTCTTCTCCTAATTTACTCTTCAGCTGGAAGCCACTCTGTTCTCTCCCGTAAAACGCTGTTACTGATAGTATCCGGCCAATGGATGTTGGGTATTTTGCGTAGACAACTGTTTATAAATACTTGTACCTTCCCAATGATGGCTGTAGTAGTTCTCCACGTTTCAGCTCCATACAGTAGAAATGACTGTCTTGACGTTCGTATTAAAGATTCTGACCTTGAAATTGGTTGAGAGTTGTTTTGAGTTCCATATGTTCTTCAATTGTAGAAATGCTGCCCTTGCTTTGCTAATCCTCGCTTTTACATCTGAATCCCATCCTCCTTGTTTATCAACGATGCTCCCCAAGTACTTGAATGTTTCCACCTCTTCCAGAGTTTCGCCATCAAGTGTGATTGGGTCGGTGTTCACCGAAACCCCTATTCTAAATTACATTTATTCATCTATGATCCCGCACTTCAGACTCGAACCCAGGAACTTTAGTTTCTGCACTATATCCATGGTGGAATCAATGGATAAGAACCACTTAAGAGTTCCATACTAAAACAAAACACTAGTCTACAATGGTTTACTAATTAGTTTCAATCCATAAGATAACCTATAAAATTCAATAATCTCCATAATTACTCTATATTACCAAAGATAATAGTTTAATGTCATCATAATGCAATGAATCGTCATCTTAATCTATGAAATAAATCATTTCCATCTGTTCACCGCTTCAGTTGGCGGTAGATAGATACTAAGATTATTCAACTATTCATACATTTTATGAGACACTTATCAGCTAGTAACTGAAAACATTTCCTTTGTTTTATTCTATTAAAGTAAAGAAAAACAAAATAGGTACATTCAACTAAAAAATATGTTTTGCTATGATTTCATTGTCCTACATTTAGTTCAATCTAAATTACTATATCTGTATATATTGATTCTATTGTCAACGTTTTTGATGGATCAAGTATATAATTTATTACTTCCTAATCAAATATATTACAATTAATCACTTTTTTAGGGATAATATACTAGACTAGTTCTTGACAAATTGATTATTTTAATAGTTGAGATCATGAGTTAATTGAAGCTAGACCACCAGGGAAAACCTGAAAGCACTAGATGGCCGTTTCGTCTTATTGTGGGACTTGTCATTAGTGCGCATCCACGATCCCGCCTCACGAGATTTGAACCGAGGACCTAACAGTCCCGCAAGCGAGCGCTTAACCTCTAGACAACTGAGCCACTGCTGAGAAGTCTCACAGTAGGACGAAACAGCCGTCCAGTGCTTCCAGGTTTTCCATGGTGTTCTAGCTTCAATAGAATCATAATTTCAACTATATAAAATTACTAAAATCTCCACAAAACCCCCTCCTGATAATTCTCAATCTATTGATTTAATAGTTTGTAACTAAGCTTAAGAGAATTAAAGTTTATATATTATTTAATCATTTATCATATTGAATAAGTATACTACTAAACAATCTGAAACTCAAAATGTGTTATAACTTGTAGCCAAGTTAATGCCCTTGCTAACGTATGACATGATAAGACCGCCAATCAGAGAGCAGCGGGCAATCGATTGGAACAGTGATACACGAAAACCATACGAGCAGTCTACAGTACGTATCGGTCCTACTTCTGCCCAACCCAGCCAGTTAAGTGCGGAACAGCCTCTGCGGTATGAATCCTTGTATTTCAAATATACTGAGTTTATATACCAAACAGACTGACCACATCGTACCAATAAAATAGAAAATAACATTTTTACAAGATTTAGTCCAATGTGGCTTTGAGTAGGGGTAACAGTAATTAGTAGACTGGGTGTAATTCAAGAATGGTAAATCGTATAACAGTAGTTTGTAGTTCAAAATAAAGCTTATAATAAGGGGGACACGAATATGAATAGTTTAGTTACTTAGCGATTATACGACAAAAAGTATATGTATAATATTGGTTTATAAATAGATCCCAAAGTTTAAAATTCATTATCCTTATAGGGGAATAACAAAATGAAACCCTTGGTATCTATTACATGTGTAATGGATGTTAACATATGAAGTTAAGTCAGTTACAGAAGATAGAGTAGAATAATGTAGCTAAACATCTATAGAATTTATAAATACTATGTAAAGTAATTGCCTAAACTATTTTGTTAATTGTTTTTACTCTAATCGGTTTCGGTCATGTTATAGCAACTCTCCTACAGTCAATGTCGATTATGGTACTTAAAAGACAATTTTATTTGAACGGTAACAATTTGCCTATTTCTTTGTACTATTTTAATCAATATCTTGTCTGTATAAACATGTACTCTTGATCACATGACCAGCCTACGCACGATTCGCTCTAGCTTAAATGTTGATAGTTTAAATATCGCTTTATGAATCATTCCTTTCCCCATATATGTCTGCTCAAATCCTATTATTAGCCTTTACCTAGCCTATCTGGGCCTTATTCCATGTGACTATAAATCCACTACCGTATTTGCTCGCAAACATACATTCGCCTCTGTTTCTAACTCGCTCGATATGGTTGTAGCCTTTTGGTCTTTACTATTCTCAAACAAACTGTAGTCACCGCTTCTTATTGCATTATGATTTCAAATACTGTTAAGATTTATATAATAACCGTCATCAAGATGATTGATTAACGAAACAAAGCTACTACAATCTTTATTTCGCCTACTTATTTTTACGCTAAATTCAGATCACAGTAATTTCAAAGAAATAATATCTTTTACGATTTTACAAACTACACGGACGAGAACCGGTGCTTTCAACGTGGTATAGTCGCCAGATTTTACAAACTATAATTATTGATAAGCAAAGATGGATAGTGGCTAGTACTGGAATTCAGGACGCGCGTTTCTCCGTATTTGGGACTCGTCAGGTGGATGTACCTGCATCTCAGAGTTGATGTCCACTCTGGGACTTGAACGCAGTACCGTTCGATTCAAACGCCATCGCGTTATCCACTCGGCCACTGAGTCCTGATAGCCACTTATTTGTGCGATGGGGTGAAGTTTAAATCCACTGAGTATTGTTTGTTTGAATCTTCCCATTGATGTTTAGGACTGCAACTGCTTACAATGCTTGTGAATTAAGGCTATATCGGGGCAATACGCACATTGTGCACTTATGCCAACTAGAGACTGACCAGTTGCAGTTCTAAAAACATCAATGGGAAGATCCAAACAAACAATACTAATTGACAGAAGGGGTTTTGTGGAGATTTAGTATTTTTCATAGTAGTAAGCATGAGTCAATTGAAGCTAGACCACCATGGAAAACCTGGAAACACTGGACGGCCGTTTCGTCCTATTATGGGACTCCTCAGCAATGCGCAGTGGATCATTTGATGTTAGACATTAACACCGTTGGATGTCGGCCGGTTCAATGGTCTATCGGTTAAATGCTATGGTGCAAGACAGGTAGATCCTGGGTTCGAATCTCTCGTGAGCGGGTTCGTGGATGCGCACTGCTGAGGAGTCCCACAATAGGACGAAACGGTCTTCCCGTGCTTTTAGGTTTTCCATGATGGTCTAGCTTCAATTGACTCATGCTTTCAACTATGAAAATACTAAATCTCCACAAGAAACCCCTTCTGATAATAAAAAATATAAGGTAACAAAAATCATAATATTGTCATAATTAAATGTTGAAAACATGTTGAAAAACATGAAAAATACTAATTAAATTTATAATTATTGATATTCTGATTTTTTTTTCTCAATCGACTTATTCTATTGCCTGAATATTAAAAGAATCAAGTTCGATTGAAGTTAAAAATATTGGTCATTTAATATTGGCTCATTGAATTAATAATTTATGAACGAACCAATCAGATTTAAAATAACAGACCTTGATTTTTGGAGCGAAATTCATTCGCTCAATTGGACAAATACTATTTGGGCATTAAAGCTGATATCACTTTGTAATGAAAATCCTAATTCTAATTTTTAAACCTAACGTTCAATTGTAAATCTTATTTCTAATTGTTCACACTAGCCTATAACCATCTTTTAACTTTATTAAGTAGGTGAACATCACAGGGTCATTTGACGTTGATCAAAGGTTATCCATAAATTGTAGTTTCATTATAATTTCTTCTACATGAATAGTCTATAGTCATTTCAGTCTTAAGCCATGAATATCTAGGGATAAGTATCATGTAATTGAATAGAAAACAGTTGTTTAATCCTTCGTTGTTATCTAGTGATAGAATACAAATGATTTCAAATCATACTGAAGATTATTGTATGTGTAGTAGTTTTGTCATAAGAAACTTTGTTTATTTTATCAAACTTTTACTTGACAGACAATTAAAAAAATAATAAACTAACATTTAAAGATACGGTTTCTTAGGCAACAAATAAAGAAGTCAATTGATGATCTGAAATGTCAGAAATATTTTTCCCCCCCCCCTTTTTTTTCTAAAGAAAGTAACAAATACAATCAATAGTTGAATTACACGAGTACATTCTTCTCTTTTTTTCATAATGATTGATACTTCCATTACTCTTTTAAGGATATCCAGTGGTCAGTATCACTGTTGTTCCGATAACCAATAGAAGCTAAAAAAAAGATAAAAGAATGAAGTAAGGAGAAAAACTTCTATGAAGAATCATGTGAACATTGCACAGTTTAAAGCACAATATTTATGGATCATGCTAGTATATTATGAATGGATATCTAATGAATACATTTTACATAAATGATATCCTACTGGTGATAAGCAGTGACCAGTGGAGTTCAAACCACGTCTGTTGTGAGATATCAACGCACTGAAGACAATTGGTGAACGGTTGCTGAAACTTCGTGGATTGGTTGAAGTTAGACATTAACACCGTTGGATGTCGGCCGGTTCAATGGTCTATCGGTTAAATGCTATGGCGCAAGACAGGTAGATCCTGGGTTCAAATCTTACGAGGCGAGGTCGTGGATGCGCACTGCTGAGGAGTCCCACAATAGGACGAAACAGTCGTCCCGTGCTTTTATGTTTTCCATAGTGGTCTAGCTTCAATTGACTCACGCTTTCAACTATGAAAATACTAAATCTCCACAAGAAACCCCTTCTGATAATAAAAAATATAAGGTAACAAAAATCATAATATAGTCATAATTAAATGTTGAAAACAGTCAGTAAGAAATTGTACATGACCGCGGTTTTTGTCTCAGTTGGAACTGTTCAACAATAAACCCTTATAATTTTCAGGGAACTAATATCTCTTTTAGGATTCACTAATTTCTGACTGAACTTTACGATTTGAGTTGTTACTGCTAAGCTATTCTGGCTGTGACTGGCCTCCTATTAAAATGAGATATTTACAGATGGATAATCATTTAGCAGTAAAAAATATTAAGGTTTGTCTAATCCTTGATTGATGGAACTTAATCAGCACTAAATGACTAGGTAACATTGGTTACTACACACTGATCAATCAATTATAAACGTAATTTTCAGTTCTATAATACTAATGGATATGATACAGATGATAGCCGTCAAGATTACTTACCGTCTATATGATATAAGTAACTGAAGAACAAGATATACAACCGGTAAGCTAATAATCTTATCATTGTGAATTTCACAATTATGATGAATGAGTTAACATATTACTCAGTAAATTAGTTACATATGTTGGTCATCTCAGTTTGAAATTAGAGTATCACAAGTTGTATTTATTCATTAAGTTATTGATTCATTAATGCACTGTACTACAATGTAGTCTTTACCTTCCATGAATTATGCTATATCAGTTTATTGCTCAGTTACAACAGTCATAAAGTGTGGAACGATTCCATATTTGTCATAATGTTATAAAAGTGAAGATATAATGAAATAATAGTGATAAACCATTTCACATATGTGACAATCAAGGGGATATGGACAATATTTAAAGGAAATATGTAGAAGAGTAAAATGTTTAGACAATAATAATAATAGGTTAAGGATAAAATTCGACCCATATCGTCTTACCGAAAAAAAGGACAAAACCTTTCATTATATGCTTGGTTAAATAATCTATTGAGATCACGAACCGACCAATGTTAGACCACCATTGAAAACCTAGAAGTACTGGGCGGTTATTTCTTCCCAATATGGCACTACTCATAAGTGAGCATCCACAACACCTCATCAAAAGTAATCGAACCCAAGATCTTCATTCTTGCTCACGAACGTCTAACCTGTCGACTACAGAGGCGGCAGCGAACTGTGTCAATGTCTAACCTGAAGTTGGACATTATGTTAGACATCAACACCCTTGGATGCCGACTCCGTAGTGTACAGGTTAAGCGATCGAGAGCAAGAATGAAGATCCTGAGTTCAATTACTCTCGGTGCGGGGTTGTGTACGCCTATTCCTGTACAGTTCTCCACTGGGATGAGATTGCCGTCCAGTGCTTCCAAATTTTCAATGATGATCCAACATTGATCAGTTCATAATCTTGATAAAAACACTCAACATTCTCCACAACCTTATGCTAATAAATAACTGATTGCTTTAAAGAATTGAAAATGGAATTATTTCTGAAAGATTATAACACATACAACCGATACTATTAAGGTTAGTTGTTTTCAACAACAACAAAATTGTGAATACTAAACAGTAATTCGGTATTCAAGAATGGAATGCTGAACTGCTTTCCTACGTTTCCTTTATTGAATTTCAGTAGGCGGTTTGTTATATAAGAAACAAATATTTACACTACACAATATAGTAAATTAAATATTCCCATAACCATGTTATTACACCCCGCAAAATGTCACTGTAATCTTGTAAATAAAAATGGTAAAAAGTAATACATATATGTAGAGTTTAGTAACGACATTGATTTCAGATTTATTCTGTATATGTATGTATCTATGCTTTGTCACTGGCTTTACCACACAAATAGATAGATAATCAAATACATACAGCTGCTTTATGATTGGATTAATTACCAACTATATTGTCATGATAAGCAAAGATGGATAGTGGCTATCAGTGGAATCTAGTTTGACACACGTTTCGTCTTATTTGGGACTTGTCAGATGGATGTACTTGCATCTCAGAGTTGATGTTCACTCTGAGATTCGAACCCAGTATCTTCAAACACGATCGCATTATCCACTCAGTTATTGAGTCCTAATAGCCACTTCTTTGTGCAATGAGGTGAAGATTAAATTCACTTGGTATTGTTTGTTTGAATGTTACTACATATGCCAATTAGAGACTGATCAATTGCAATTCTAAACATCAATGGAAAGATTCAAACAAACAATACCAAATGAATATATTATCATAGTTCACCAGCTAATACCATAAAGAATAATTTTTACATAATGTGACAGTCACAGAAAAACAACCATATCAATTGATGCATTCAATAGCTGTTTCATGTAAGTATGAGACTCTTTATTGGCGTCCACCCATGACCTATATATTCTTATTGACTAGTCTATAATAATGACCTTTGATTACAAATATAATTCCTTCTTTTTAAATATCTAACATGTAAATAACAAAGTGCTAATAAGATGTGAAATAGTTCTTTCCCCCCCCCCCAAAAAAAAGTTCATCAACACAACTTGTTTATTTCACCAATCAGAAATAATCTATAACACAGTGGGTGAAGAAAAATAGATAATTTGCAGTAATATAAGTTATGGGGAAACTACACTTACTATTAATAATACTAATACTGATTGATCAGAAGAATGTTTGGCATTTCTAAACAATGATTTTTCATTAGTCAATTATTTCATTATCATGGTAACATAATTAATAGCATACAAATGAACACATTTTATTTTATTATAAATTATGGATTTTCGTTTTTTTTTCCTGTTTTTGCCACCACAGATCAAAAGTTTATAATGAAAATCACATTTCAATGAATTTCTTTACTGAACTGTTTAGTCAACATCAGAAAATGTCTTCTGTAAGGAATGAACTGGAAAGGACTGCACAGGATAGGGTTGGATAGAGAATGCTGATGTGCGGCTTATACTCCTGCACGAAGGGTAACAGAAGTAAGTAAGTAGTAGTCTTCTGTAAGAATGAAAAATCCTTCGCTTGATCATTTCAGTGTGCATCAATCAGTACAATTACTCTTGAGGATTAACAAACATTACTAACATCTAGGATTCGTTTTCTACACTTATAAGAGAAAATATTTTTGTTTGGTTTAACTGAAGGAGGATAGAACTAGAAAAGAAGGCTCAGGACAGAGTGAGTTGGAGAATGCTGGTCGGCGGCCTATGCTCCATTGGGAGTAACACGCATAAGTAATTAAGTAAGTAACTGAAGGAGTATGGTTGGGAGTTCAATCCAGGACTATTCAGTCGATTGTAATCTTTCTGTTAAAAGAAATGCTAATCTCTAGACGTTTTATCAAATATTTTATAATCTACTAACATTTCCTTGTTTTCAAATCTTTAAAGCAGAACTTTAAGATGAAGTTTGATCTCTGTAATTCGGTGTACGTTGTCGATTTTACATAACCATGAATTGGTATTATTAACGTGATATGACTAAATATGATAACCCATTTATTAAAGTTTTCAGGACTCTTACCTTCTCAGATGTTCTTGAGAATTCAGGCCATTAAAAGCTTATTATTATTATTACTACTACTACTAAAATTTGATGCATCATAGTGTTATATACTAGGAAAAAGTAAGTACTGATAACTTACGGGACCTCTTATTAGACTATTAATCTATTTATATTCCTATGGTATAACTATTCAGTAACTGGATTATCTATATCTATATTCATCTTATTACTAGCTTCATTTTGACCTATTGATTATTACTATATGATTTACTGTCCCTACGTTATGCTCAGTTTTATTGATTATTGTCTCCCACACTAACAGCTTCATTTGGCCTGGTTTTGTACGAATATTATTTTCTATTTTATGGTGTGGTGTGGTCTGCCTGTCTGGTATATAGATAAAGTATGCTTGAAATAAACGATTCGCATTACAGCAGCTGCTATTGGTGTTCTGGACTCAAGTGGACGGGTAGGCAGATAAGGACCAATAAGGACGCTAGATTACTCATATTAATCGAACGTCATTGTCACAGTGTGAAGGTCGTAGAAGGCGTATTCTATTGGTGGATCATTTACGAGAATTACGTCCTTGTTAAGTTCGTAAGGTCATAACGAATCAGCGACGACCTTGATCAAGTCATAACAATTGGCTATAGCCTAGGTCAAATCATAACAAATTGGCGACGGGGATTTCGGTAAAAAAAAATACAAGAATTGGGACGTGATTCTGAAAAAATACAGCAGTCGGTGACGTCATTTTGGAATTAAATAATCCATAATAATTGCCGGTGTTCTTTTCTTTGGATTTATTATTACTATTCTCATTTCAAAAAAAAAATGTCAATTTCTCCAGAACAGCTACAGTTAATATTGCAGCAGCAGCAGCAACAGATGTTAGCTTGTCAACAACAACTCCTGGAATCACTTTTGGGGAAAATGTCTATTCAGCAAGATATTCCAGAACATAAAAGCATAGAGTCATATCTTAATCCAATTCCAGAATTTATTTTCGATGCAGACAGCGGTCACACT